CGCGATAGCCGTGCGGACTAATGCGTTAGTCTGTACGGGTATCGTGCCGGTAGGCGCGGGTTCGAGCCCCAGCGGTTGTTAGAAAATTGATTGCAATAACAACCGCTGAGGGTCGCTCTAGTAGCCGAACTGTACTGACCAGGTTTTCTGTGGTTTTCCTTGGTCACTGTGCTAAAGCTTAAATGGGCAGGCACAGGCAAATGAATACAGTACTTGTAAGTCGGCCACAGCCGCTACCTCGAACGCATTGAGGTGGGGTAAAAGAAATCTACCTCACCGAGAGGGTGGGAATAAAAAAAGGGGGGAGGAGAAAAAAGTGTGGTAGTTACATGTATGAAAAACGTAGTGGAAAAACAGGCGAGAGAAAAGGTGGAAATCCCCACCCTCTCCTTGTAAAAACACACGGTTGTATACAAGTAAAAATCACATTTTTAGTAACTGTGGAATATACTTCTCATTTATTAATTTTTACGATCTTCTATTGTAAATTTTATCCAACAAACAAGACTAGCAAGAGACTTAAAAAGTCGAATACTATAAAGCAAATTATACAAGATGTGTTAGTTAACTTTACAATTCAACTATTGTGAAAATTGACAGTCGGTTTTTTTAAAAGAAATTTTAGGGAGGGAGAGAGATAGAAGGTTGGACTAATTGGTACCTTTGCAGTAACCAAAAAAAGAATTCGGAAATTTCGTCCTATCCGGGAATCGAACCCAGAACTCTTAGTTGGTAGCCAGAGACTCTCCCTCTACGCTATAAGAGGTAAACTACTATTGACGTCCTTCAGCATTTACATAAACGCGGAGTCTAGCGCTGTGCACGGGCATCACTCACACTAATTGAAAAACATTCCAATTCAACTATTGTAAAATTTGTTATACTTCTATTGGAAAAATGCAGAGGCAACACTGGAAATTTTAACCTCTTACTTTTTACAATAGTAATATCGTATTTAATCTAATCGAATTCAATCCAAGAATTATTTGGTAAAATTACGATAAGGTAAGAACCCCTATTATTGACAGGGCTCCTATTATTGACATGTTGTTTTATTTTATTGATTAAATCACAATAAACATTGCTTTTTATTAATTTTTAGAAATTTTTTAGTAAGAAAATAGTAAAATTTTATGTCTGGGTATTAATTATAAACTGCAAAAAAATTTTATTTTTCCGGGTAGACCACTACGGCTAGTTTATTTAAAATTTCTTAACAATTTCGCTAAGAGAGAGTGTATTTTAAATAGCGAAATTTTCTATATAATTCTGATATAAGCCTATCATCCAAAATTATTTGAGGTTTTTAAACTCTGAATAATCTTAGATTTATTGTTTTAAGCTGATAAATTTTAATTATGATTTAAAAATAGCGGGTGTCAATATTAGGTACATAAAAATTAACATGTGTTTAATTAGCGACAGCCTACAATTTTAAGAAACTTAATCTCTTTAACATACATAGCGGATTTGTTTACATGTTGTCTCGCGTAATTTTATAATAAAAAAAAGAATTATCTGAGCAAAATATTGTTGTTTATTAGTAAATAATAAATTATATTCGAAGTTTAAATTTCAATTAAACCTGAATAATAGGGTTGATACCTGTCAATAATAGGGTCTATGGGTGTCAATAGTTGGCTCCGATACCATTTCATCCTGTCAATAATACCTACACTTGAGTTGGTGATTTCAAATTAATATATTTGTCATTTAATTAACGACTATTTAAGTATAAAAATGAAAATACTCAAGTTGATGAATCAAAAAAAGTGTCTAATACAAAAAAAAATTAGTCAGATTAATTTGAATACGGTTAAAAAATTCAAATGTTCGCCGTCCTTCTTATAGTGTCAATAATGGAGGCTCTTACCTTATTAAAGATATATTATCAAAATTATAAGAGACAAAATTTTTAGGAAATTCAATTTTCTTCAAAAGTATTTGAATATTTTTCTCTAAACCCAATAGTTTTCGAGATATTTAAAATATAACATTTATAATGAGTTTCCAAAAATTTATAAGATGTAAAATAATGATTGAAAATTCATTCAACAATTCTTCAGTTTAATTTGAAGAAAAGTATCACGATGTACTGGTAGATTTTAGCATAGGAATTTATTCTTAAAATTTGCGTGTGAACATGACAAAATAAATGTTTGGTACGCAGCAGAGGTTACTTTTACTTAGGCATTTTTTTGGACGTACATTGGAAAGTTTTGTCAGTTAAAGTTAAAGTTAAGATAAATATATAATGAAATAACATACTGATAAATATATGTATATATTATGCACTTGTATAAATATTGAGTAAGGCGACGGGTGTCCTACCTCTCACCCTCAGCTTAAAATGTGTGTACGGTAATGTAACATACGAGAGTTAACTTTAAGAGAGAAAATAATATAGTAATAACAAGAGATGGAGATATGACGATAAGTTTGTATGCATCGACTTAGTCGGCCTCAATATCTTGTCTGCTTTCTCTTAACCAACATACTGATATTTTAGCCATGATTTAAGTACGAGTTTATTTTTATAAATCCAATAAATTATTTTAAGGAGTATTTTTATTTAATTGTGCAAATGGATACCACCGAGTCCTGGTGTTTTACGCAAATTTAATGCCTCCATTTAATTTGTTGAGAAATTACCTCTTTATTTTTTATTATAAAATTAATTCATTTTTTTCTTTCATTCATAAAAATGTTAAAAAATTTTCTTTTGAAAATATTTAGTTTAGAGAAAAATTTATTAGACTTTTTTGTAGAAAATTTTGTGTTGTGATTTTATTGCATCTTTGATAGTTTAGCCAGAAATTTGAGTTTATGCCTTAAAACGAAAGTGCAAGATTCTAAGAAATTTGTAATTTTATTATGAACGTTAAAATTGAAATATTTGGGGCTAAAAAAAAGATAAAAGTCAGAATAAATGTTTACATTTAGAATTCGGAGATCGGAAAAGTGAAAATTTCAGGTATAAAATTCACAGAACGAATAGAAATCGGTCACCTGTCGATTTACGATTTTCCTGCATAACACCCCTAACAATAAAACCTGTAGCCAAAATCACTCCCTAAGGGAAGTTATGTCACGTTTGAATAAAAGGTAAACTTTAATTTACAAGTCCCTATTATTCTATTTATATTCTCTTAGCCATTAAAAATGACCGAACGGACATGAAAGTCATTGTAAGTCACGGTGTTAAATAATTTTCAGGGTCAGCTAACGTACAAATGTCATTGATGGTTATTCCAGTTACTCTGGGTAGACCTGCAAGAGATAATAAAAATACACAATAGTATTGTTAACATTGCTGTCAGTAGTTATAACAGTGCTGGTAATATCTCTTCGATTCACTTCCTACAACTTGTACTTACATTCATCTGTATGTTAAGTAACTTAAACCCTAAGTAATATGCTAAATATATGTAGTCATATATTTTGTTATTTTTTACACAAATATTTTATTAACTTCAAACGCTAAAATTTTATTGGTTTGCTTTTTTATTTAAACATTCAAAATTTTTTTTTCGGCTTCTCACCTTGAGCAAATTTTTCTTTTTAATATTTGATACCCATTTTATATTATTTTAGCGTGCAATTACTTCCGTGATAGTTTTACTTTTATTTATTAATTAATATTCAAATATTTTAAAATGTGAGGCTTTTTTAATTTTTATAAAATTTTTAGATTTTTTTTTTATAAAACTTGAGATTTTTGGTTATTTTCAAGTTTGGATAGTTGGAATTTAATTCCTAGCTAAACTATTAAAGATACGGGAAAATTGTGATAGTCCAAATTTAAAGTAAATTGAATTTTCTGTAAAAAGTATCATAACATTTTTTTGAAGCTCAGTAGTTATTGAGATAATCAAACTTTTCCATTCATAATGAATTTCCAAAAATTCATAAATTGTCAATTTGAGTTTCTAGCTTTAGAATTAAAATTTCGGCTCGAATAGTAGAGATATAAGGTAAGAGCCCCCATTATTGACACTATAAGAGTGAGGGCGAACATTTGAATTTTTTAACCGTATTCAAATTAATCTGACTAACTTTTTTTTGCATTAGACACTTTTTTTGATTCATCAACTTGTGTATTTTAATTTTAATACTTAAATAGTCGTTAGTTAAATGACAAATATATTAATTTAAAATCAGCAACTCAAGTGTAGGTATTATTGACAGGGTGAAATGGTATCGGAGCCAACTATTGACACCCATAGACCCTATTATTGACAGGTGTCAACCCTATTATTCAGGTTTAATTGAAATTTAAACTTCGAATATAATTTATTATTTACTAGTAAACAACAATATTTTGCTCAGACAATTTTTTTTTTTATTATAAAATTACGCGAGACAACATGTAAACAAATCCGCTATGTATGTTAAAGAGGTTAAATTTCTTAAAATTGTAGGCTGTCGCTAGTTAGACACATGTTAATTTTTATGTACCTACTATTGACACCCGCTATTTTTAAATCATAATTAAAATTTATCAGCTTAAAACAAAAAATCTAAGATTATTTAGAGTCTAAATAATCTCAAATAATTTTGGATGATAGGCTTATATCAGAATTAAATAGACAAATTCGCTATTTAAAATACACTCTCTCTTAGCGAAATTGTTAAGAAATTTTAAATAAACTAGCCGTAGTGGTCTACTCGGAAAAATACAATTTTTTTGCAGTTAATAATTAATACCCAAGCATAAAATTTTACTTTTTTCTTACTAAAAAATTTCTAAAAATTGATAAAAAGCAATGTTTATTGTGATTTAATCATAAAATTGATTAAATAATCAATAAAATAAAACAACATGTCAATAATAGAGGCCCTGTCAATAATAGGGGCTTTTACTTTAAATTTCCAAAAATTCTTAAATCTTGTGTAAAAAATAAAAGGTGAGCTCAAGTATCAGATATTCCTAATTAAACTTACGCCGTAAAAAGAGAAGTCTGGACTGAAAAAAAAAAAAAAATTAAATTAAAATTTTAAATTAGCCTGACAATTAATAAATGTTCTACTTACTTATCGACACGCTATTTAATTTAGTCCCCGGCTGATGATGAAATATTTTTTGTAACCGATTGGAAACGCACGAAATTTCGGCAAACTCAGATCAGCGAGGATGACCAGCGAGCAAGTAAAGAATGAGCCTCCTCTCTTTTCTCGATCACAATCGATTGGCAGTAAGGGGATGTCGTGATGTTTTTGAGTCTTCTTTGGGGCAAGAAAGCGTGTTGGTCTGGCATCCAAGAGTTTAGTCCAGTCTGAGTATCCAGGACTTGTAGCAAGAATCGAGGATCGGTAGAATAACCTAACCAGCTATACCTGTACCTGTACCTGTACCTAGTGTAGCATCAGAAGCCGTCAGTAGAGGATCGCCGGAGTAATAACAATGAGATAGAGAGAGAAAGAAAGAGGAGGAAGGAAGAGAAAGAGAAGGGCACGGAAACTTGTCAGGGTCGTGAGAGGAGCCGTTCTTAGTGTTGTGGAGCCGCTGATACTGAGGAAAGTAACGACGAAGACGAACAAGAAGGAGATGAGGAGAATGAGTACCAGGTTCAAGAGGATGGACCAAGGAATAGTGGAGAGAATAAGAATAAGAATAATCTTCCAAAGGGAAGATGTCCGACGAAGAAGAAGATGATCAAGAAGAAGAAGACGGTTTCGAAGAGGCGACCGGCATTCCACGGGGTCCGTATTAATTATACTGAGGCTCCGTTGATGCCGATACCCTCTCTCTCTCATCCTCAGTCTCTCTCCGGCTCACGAACCAACAAAATAGATTACTCAAGTGGAATTCTCTTTAATCACAATAACAAGAAAATTATCCATTACTTCCGTGATAGTTTTATTTTTATTTAGTAATTAATATTCAAATATTTCAAAATAAGAGAATCTTTCAATTTTTTAAAAATTTTTTGATTTTTTAAATACTTGAGATTTTTGGTTATTTTTTAGTTTAAATACTTGGAATTGAATTTTTGGATAAGCTATTGGAAGATATGGGAAAATTATAAGATAACATTTTTAGAAAATTTAATTTTTCATAATAAAGTCTTTGGAAGTTTTTCTCTAAACTTGATATTTTTCAAGATATTTAAAATTGAATATTTATAATGAGTTCCCAAAAATTCATAAATTCTAAATTTAAAATTGAATTTAAGGGTAAGCTATTTAAGATACGGAAAAATGATAAGAGGATGAATTTATAGTAAATTGAATTTCCGATAAAAAAGTATTATAACATTTTTTTTAAGCTCAGTAGTTATCGAAATAATTGAATTTTTTTATTCATAATGAATTTCCAAAAATTTATAAATTGTAAATTTGAGTTTCTAGGCTTAAAATTAAAATTTTGGCTCAACTATTAGAGATATATCTTGTAAGAGACATTTTTAGGAAATTCAATTTCTTGCAAAAAAGTATTGAAACATTGTTTTGTAAACCCAATAGTTTTCTAGATATTTTGAATATTACATTGATAATAAGTAATGTAAAGTTATGACGTTACTTATTTTTGTGTTTTCCCAAAATTTCTTCATGTTGATCTTTAGCTCTTAGTCCTTAGAATTCATTTTTTGGTCAAAATATCAAAAATACGACAGTCATGAGCCAAATTTTGTAGAAGACTAATTTCTCTACAGAAAAGTCTTGCAAATTTTATTTTAAACTCAAGATATTTCAAATTTATCATTTATAATGGAGTTTCCAAAAATTCATCAACTTAATCTTTTGTTCTTAGATTTAGAAACGAATTTCCGACTAAAATATTAAAGATACATAGAAAGAATAATTTCTTAATTGAAGAACAAAATACTTGGCTCAAAAAAATTTTCGAATGCCTGAACTTCTATCAAGAACTAAATTTTTTGGAGCAAGAAGCTGAATTTTTTCAAAACAACAAGATTTTATTAAATTAAATAAATTTTCTTGGATCAAGATACGTATTTCTTGCAATAGAATTAATTTTTTTGGAATAAGTGAAATTTCTCGTAAAAAAAAAATTTTTTTCGCTCAAGAAAATAATTAGGAAAAGTATTGATTATAAAAAAACAAAAAATCAAAAATTTTAAAAAACTAAATTGAATCGAAAGTAAAATAATTATAATTATAATTGTTATTGTTATTATGATGATTGTTGTTGTTATTAATACAAATTAAAAAAATGTTTTGTTAATTTATGCTTCGCATCTGAGAATTCGTTTTCATGCTCTTGTTTTTCTTTTCCTTTCGGTCTTCTCTCTTTTTATCTTACGGATCTTGTTTATCTTTTTATTCATTTTATTATATATATAAAGAGAGACAGAAAGAGAGAGAGAGAGAGGAAGATTAAGAAAGAGAAGCTCAAGGAGGATCTCCGATCTTTGTCTTTCTCAATTTCAAGAGCAGGTGGAAAGAAACCGAACAGACAGAAAAGGACAGAAAGTAAATTACCTCTAGGACGAGACTACTCTCTTAAGTCTTAAGGTGCGAGAGAATAATATATTGGTAGGATACCCTACCCTACCCTCTATAGTATCTCTGTATCTATCTATATTCTATATGTGGATATATGTAATGCTCAGCCCGATAGTTTTAGAATAAAGATCAAGATTCTAGTCAAGGTTGCTGGGTGATTCTAAACAATAAAACCACCCACATGCTTTTGTTGGAAAAATATTTTGCTTATAATTTTGCTATGTTTGTTTTTGATTGGTAATTTTAGAAATAACAAAAAAACATCATAATAATTTTGGAAACTCATTATAAACATTTAAGGTAAAAGCCCCTATTATTGACATGTTGTTTTATTTTATTGATTATTTAATCAATTTTATGATTAAATCACAATAAACATTGCTTTTTATTAATTTTTAGAAATTTTTTAGTAAGAAAAAAGTAAAATTTTATGCCTGGGTATTAATTATAAACTGCAAAAAAATTTATTTTTCCGAGTAGACCACTACGGCTAGTTTATTTAAAATTTCTTAACAATTTCGCTAAGAGAGAGTGTATTTTAAATAGCGAATTTTTCTATATAATTCTGATATAAGCCTATCATCCAAAATTATTTGAAGTTATTTAAACTCTAAATAATCTTAGATTTATTGTTTTAAACTGATAAATTTTAATTATGATTTAAAAATACCGGGTGTCAATAGTAGGTACATAGAAATTAACATGTGTTTAACTAGCGACAGCCTACAATTTTAAGAAACTCAACCTCTTTAACATGCATAGCGAATTTGTTTACATGCCCGGGTCAAAAAATTTAGTCTGTTTTATGATTAATAAAATTTTTTAATATTTTTCATTCAATTTAATTTTATTATGTGTATCTATTTTATATGAGAATTTAATCTGTTTTTGCCCGTATTATTCACAATTCAGACCAATTTCAGATCATTTTTAAT